CTGTGTGAGACTAGTGCCGCCCTCACCGGCACTGCCCTGCTGCAGCCCAACGGCTCTGGTGAGCATCACCAGGCTATATTATATCATACCATAGGCGACGCTAGAGAGTAGGGGTAGGTACTGCTCCTAGAGAGTCAAAAATGTAAAGTAAATATGTAAATTAATTTTAAGCATTAAGGTGCGGATAATCTCTAGAAATTTCAAATATAAGTGAGTTTCCTAACTACTTATCAACAAAATAATACAATTCCAGTAGTTATCCTTTCAGATTCTCGCATCGTCAAGTCAAAGGAACTTGCGGCAAAGTCCAAATCAACCCGCGATCAGGTAAGAAATTCAATTAAAACTTTAAATGTATTGTTTTCTGTGTAATATTTTGGTTTACAGTTATTCGTTTTTACAGTTAAAAATACCTGAAAATACGGGTAGAAGAAAAATTAGCCAACAGCCAAGCATCGAAGAAGACGCCATGTTTATCAGAAAAACCATAGAAGAAATAGAAAGAGGAAGCTCTACCCGGTTTAAAGATGATGTAATGGCTTCTGAAACTGAGGTTAGAGATTCGCCTTCGACAAGCATATGTACTACTGTAAGAACAAAACATGATGACAACGCGAAAGATATCAAAACCGTTAAGGACTGTAATGAAGAACAAAAAGATGAATTTAAACGCAGAGATGTAGATAAAAGTAATGGAAAGAAAAAAACTAAATCCAGAGCAAGATTAGAAAGAGAGCAGTCGAAGCCATCTGAAAGTGACTCGGAGCCTGACGTTGATACAGTCACTGTGGAAATCCCTAGAAGACGTAAAAGACCAAGAAGACCGTCGGAGAGACCGCGTAGTCCACCGACATCGCTGCATTCAGATTCGGAAGGAGAGGTAATGAAGATCAAACAAGTTCTTAATATTTAATTTTACTTGTTCTTCCGTATTGCGTCTGTAGAAATAATAAAATTTAACGTCAATTAATTTCTGATTGAGATTTGTCAAAACTCTGATATTTGTATGTAATAAAGGAGGAATACTTAATAACGCTTGAATTTCAGGTGTTTGTTTTGAAATTGAAGGCTCCGGAACGCAGAGAGAATTCGCCTGAAGTAATAGTAAAGACAACTCGGAAAATATTCTCGCCCGTAGTACGAAGTGGAGAGTCCGTTCCAAGGGCTGTTATTCCAGTGGACGTTGAAGACTTGGCCGGAGTACGACCGACCATGGACAGGACTACCCATCGACTACATGATATCAAGAAGAAACATGAAACAGAAAAGCGCAAGAAACCAGAACTTAACGTAAGATCCAAGAGTTCAGGTGACCTTCAAGAAGGTGAGGATCACAGACCAAGGACACGACCACCTCTCCCCTCATCTCCATCCTCACAGAAAAAACAACTCCCCAAAGAAACAGCACCGTCCATTCGAATTATGATCCAACGATACAACAAGAAAATAAATGAAGAAGGTAACCACATTTTCTTTATAGTTACCTAATGACTATGCAAAGCTTCTCTCTATCAAATACAATATTCTATTATAGCTTGACCTACAATTTTTACAGGCTTACACTATCATTTTAATTCAAAGTTATTCTGTATTAGCTGCACAGTTTTTTTTCGACCACGAATGACGATGAGTCTTTCGGTGACAGGTAATGTGTCAGGGGGCAGCAGCGGAGCGTCCTCCCCTCCCTGGCGCTCCCCCAGCGTAGAGCGCCGGCGACCTCCTGACATGCCTGTCGGCATTAATATAAGGTGAGACGTGATTTCCTCAACATAATGTTGAGAGGAACAGCAAACTGTTTGATTGACAAGATTTCGCACCAACGAATGTGGTTCCACAAATGGAACCACATTCGTTGGTGCGAAATCTTCTTTTAATCATAAAAGTATTTGTTAAATTCATAGTAACTTATTACAGAAATAACCCATTCCTTGAAAGGGAGGTAAAAAAGTCAGCGAGTGCCTGTCAGCTGTCTCGGCGCAAACAGACGTCGGCAGAGAAGCGGCTGACGCCCACAGCGTGCAGTCTAGAGGGCGTACTGAAATCGCACAGCGCCAACGCACTGCTGCCCGAACAGGAGAATGAGTCTCCTACGGAGGACAAGAATGATGGCAGCCAACATACGATCAGATGCGCCGCCGCCAGCACCGATACGGTCGTCCCCGTCACCACTAAACCACCGGACACTCCACCCACACCCGATACGCATCCCGTACTCAGACAACTGTCGGACACATTAGTGCCGAGCTTGTCAAGGTTCGTGGATAAAACTGGCTTCTTTGAGAGATCCCTGTCGTCGGTGGAGCCCCATGGCTCCGGGGATAGCGGTGCGGCGGTGGCTGGACTTTCGGAGCGGGCAGCTAGGATTCGCGCCGCGAGGGAGAGGTTTCTGGCCTCACCACCACCTATGAGGAAGGAGGGCACCAGCTCCGCCAGCGATTTGAGGCCAGGAGATCGGTAGGTGTTGTTGTAAATTATGTTGATTAACATCTGATTTATCGTATTTAAGCAAGTAACTGTTGATCTGGCATATGACATGTTATCGCAGAACCAGCCGCATCAGCTGTGAGAGCGAGACAACGGAGGCGCAGAGCTCTGGATCGCAGGAGCAAGCGCTAGGACGGAGCGCCTCCACCGGCATGGTCAACGTGGAGCGTGTCGCTTGGCAGAGAGTCGCCGAAGGTAACTTCAACTATATTACAATCATTAGTTATTAGCCCTTCTAACTTGGATAATATGTCAGAGAAGTCTTCGATAACCAGAGGCAGGAATGTTTACGTACTGGAGCTTAAAAACCTTATCCTATTGTAGGTACGGGACGGGAACGCGGGGGCTCGCGGTTTAGCCTGGCGCGGCTTGCTGCGCGACTAAGACGTGGGGAGACGGGCGGGGGCGGAGGCGGCGGCACGGGGCAAGGCGCGGGGGCCGTGGCGCGCCTATGCCGGCAGAGTCTGCTAGTACAGCTTCGTAACAAGCACTGAATATATCTTACCACATACCAATACTTGTTTTATTTACATAACTTCAATGTGTACCAATTAACTACCAAATGAAGTACTTTTTTAATTTAATTGTTGCATCTCACTATAAGGATACAAATAAGGAAAGGTTTTAATGAAATAAAACATCATGAACATTAAATTTATTTCAAATTTAATTTCGCTCTCGACCGCGCTGCACCACTGACCACTGACAAATTGACCACTGGCCACTGACCACTGGCCACTGACCACTGGCCACTAGCCACTGACCACTGACCGCATTCAATACGCTTGGTAACAATAATTACCGTATCAAAATGGGAAGTTGGAACTAATAATAATTTTATTATCAAAAACACTACAATTCAGTAATTTATTAGTAATAATAATAATAAGACTCAAGAGAACACTTACAAACAACGTTAATGGGTAATTTGGTTGAGGTAGATTCAATTGTAATTTATAAACTAATTTATAATGTTTTGTGGGAACATGACAATACAAGGCTGTTCAAAAGCGATCGCAAATCGCGTTTACAACATTAATTATACTGAGGCGGACTTTGACCAAAAATCTTGGTACTTTATTGCTTTTATTTTCACATTTATTTAGAAATCTAACATCAACAACAATAATGTTCTTTTTATTTTGGTAATAAATCAAAGTGATCGATTCCTCATGTCCCCACAACCCGTTTTAAAACTTTCTTATCTTAATTATAAACTGGAATATTTCGACTCCATCATAATGCGCCTTCGAGAAATGTAACATTAATTAAAAAGAAACTTTAAGTGGCGTTAAACAAAAAAAAACGTGCAGCATAGTTTGAAGCTGATAGAGACAAACAAAAACTTCTATTTAAACGTAATAATACAAATACTGTGACAAATTATAAAACAACAAATACGGAAACAAATAATTATGCAACGATTTAAATTAAAATTACACGCGAAAAACTCACAACTGACAAAATCAGTAGAAAGCTCACATATTAATGCTGAAAACTTCAAATAAAAACACAATAAAAAAACACAAAACACATCCCACCACAGTTAAAGAATCGAAATATTCCGGCTTCATTACATAATACGCAATACAAAGATGGCGGCCGCGCGCGTTGACGTAACAAGATGGCGACAGCACGCACGGCCCCGCACTGTGACGTCACGAGCGCAGCCAGGAGCTGTTTGACGTAAGTTGTTGCGTGTAAGAAGTAAAGGTGGAGGGATTTTAATCAAACAGATCCCTCCCGACTGCACTCAGGACGCCTTCCCCTTCTCTACAAGTGATTTGAAAAGCGACATCATTTATTTACCACGAGAATTATTAAAGTTAGTATCGTTCTCAAATCACCTGCACAAACCCTACGTGTAAAAGTAGAACATTCTAGACGCAAACCAAACTGCAAATCAAATTATCAAGACTTCTGTCTCTTTTCATGCAGTACTGTGTGAAAGAGACTTGCATTACAGTCTCAGTACAAGTCACGTAATCTTAAAAATTTTGGACGCTTCGTAATTCTAAGTACACGTTGGACTAACGTCACACGAATATGGGCTTTATTACTATGAAGTAAAGGCAGCATCTTGTAGTGCCTTGAAATATTACAAGACAAATTTACAAGATTACCACCTGAGAAACACAGACATAAATACAATAAATAAATATTTAACTATTGCTATTGGATTGGACCAACACTTTCAAAGGCTATCTGTAATATAAATTCTGTACACTAAAATTCAAAGGTTTACAAAGAAAAAACATGATCATAATAAAATTTACCTCGTCTGAAAGTGTTGGGATTTTAGCGCTCACGAGTTTAATAATGGAACAGACAATAAAACAGTAAAAACAATATCTGGAGAACAACTATTGCAATGTGGAATGTCAGGATAAAACAATACTATTGATTTTGTATAACGGAATGGAATACCCTTCGTACTTTCCCATAGATGGCGCTGTTTGCTACTGTCATACACTATGTACAACAAATCTGAATACCCATTTCGAATATTACTAACAAGTTAGAAATAAAACATTAAAACCAAAGATTGCATATTAAAGAAATGAATTAATTGACATCACTTGACTAACAAAACTTATAGACCTATAGCTAAAATTCAATTAATTGGGTTTATTTGATTTCTAATGTTCTTACAATGAATATGTAAATACATTAAATTATTAAGAAACATGAATTCTCATATATTTTTAGTTCACAAAATGAGTTGAAAACAGCGCCATCTATCGTAGAATGCAACACTGTATAAACATTTAACCGCGTTAAAATTACAAATAACGCTCATAAATAATGAATATTGCGAAATGAGATTCAAAAGTCGGAGGCACGTGTTCAGGCTTTCGGTCAGTACCTACCCCCACCCCACCCTCCCAGGACGGACAAGCCAATGTGATATAAGTAAATGCTATAAAATGAATAAATTTATACCATATTTAAAACACTATTGAACACTAGCCTACAGTATGACAATTGTCTCATATTTTGACTGAACATCTTTGAGTAAATAAATCAACAATTTGAAAATGTAAAACCTAACATTTTTAACCCGCTTTCTCAATATTAATGTATCCTAAATGGAACAAACTGAGAAAATAGCCGCCAACTGTTAACAACTACAATACTATAAACAATAGTATGTATTGTATTAAATAATTTAGATTACTAGCAATGCGTCCAGACTTTGCTTGGATAAAAAAAATATCCTATTTTGTAAGGTTCAAATATCACCATAATTTTTAGCTGCAACTTTGTCCACGCGAAATTAAAAAAAAAAATGAATAAGCAACCTATGTATGCTCCAGATTATCGACATCTGTGCCAAATTTCATTAAGATTTCGGCCGTTTTACATCCATCCATCCATTCAAAATTTATAATGTTAGTATTTACAATATGCAATCAAAATCAGTTTGTTAATTTTGGAGTTTAAACAGAAAACATGAAACGATTTTTTCGTAAAAAATGTTAGTACATCTCTACATCGTTCATCTCCCTCATACACTTCGGAAAAAATGAGATAAACATATAAATATAATACGAAGGTGTCTCAAAGACACTTTCTTGCATCAACAATGTTCAATCAAAATATGTTTACAAAGTATAACAGAGAAAATAAAATCTATGTAAAAATGTGAATTCAATCTAAATCTATTTCATATCCAAATTTAATAATGTGGATACGCCAATCACTGTAAAAAGAGAGCTGAAAAATTAAATTGGCACGTAAGAAACAGCAGAAGTCAAATACACGACGTGCCAACTTAAGCAAGTGCTGTTTAGTGACTTATCCACATTATTGCGATTAAAACCGAATCTAATAATTTATTACATATTCTATAGTAATCTGTAAAGGGTGAAATATATTAGTTATTACAAAAACCATTGTACGTTACTCAGGTGTATGTAAATTTACATTTATCGAATTCTATTTGGGGGTAGTATTGGGAGTAAAAACACAACCTGGAGTATAAAAGTATTTTACAGGTTCGACACAAAGAGTGTCAATATAAAACAATAAAAAAAACCCATCTGGTAATGTTTCTTATTTTGTTAACTGTACATCGATAACCTACAATATTGTGAATATAAATAAATATCAATTGCCAATGTTATCTATTTAGCAGATAAACTTAACATCCAATTGCAAACTGCATTATAAATGTTAATTATAAAAAAAATATAAAAAAGTATGGATATTTTCGTGTAATATTAAACAGATAATTAAACTTAGAACAGAATTTGGATTAATAATATGAAAAATCCTGACAACATTGGCATTGATTAAAAAATTCTTATTTTATGTTATTTGGCCAACAATTGGTCCAACTATTTCAAATAACAATGGATTTACAAGAACGACATTTGCCCGCGTCTGGTGACGTCACGCACGCCTACAGGCCGCGCCCACCGCGCCGACGTAGATACTTTAAACCCTGTGACAAAACCTAGCGTCAAAGATAAAATTCTAGATTTTAAGAGCTAATTCTACGCCTATATTAACTTAGTGTAATTGAAATTTTCAGGTACTTAATCGGCGATTTAATTTTAATATTTAAACTGAGTTAATATTTACAAAACGAGCGCCCCCCCGCGGCCAAATGCGACACTGCTTTGTACGAACACTTATAATTACATCGTAAACATTGAATATTTTAACTGTTTTTTTTTTTATATTTGATAAACTTTGCCTCGGTTATTCTAAGATTTTTTTATTTATTTAATTTAATGTCTCGCATTTTGGCCGATAGGAGACTCGCGAGATTTTTACGACTTATAATAAATACAAGTAAATTGTACCTAGGTGCTTCCAGTTTAATATTGTACGCGTTTTGTAAGCAAGTTCGTCTTCAACTTTATAACTTCGATATATTCAACAAAATGTAACTAGGGATTGAATTTTATAACTATTTCATAAATTTTGAAAAACTCGATAAATCTTTATTATAAAATATTAACATGAATATGGGAAGGAACTGTGGTTTTGTGGTGTGGAAAACATGTGAAACTACAAAGAATAAAATTAATAAAACAAATTCTTAGTGCTAAAATAAATAATAGAAAAAAAACTAGGTATATGAAGGTGCTTTTACTCGGTGTCGATGGGTACTTCCAACGTAACATTGAAGAATTTAACACCTAAAAGAACCTTACTACGAAGAAAATGAGGTAGATAAAATTGTGATATGGAATTATGATTGGATCTACTGTCTTACAACTACTGTATAGACCTACAAGGATCATGTGGCTGGTGGAAATTTTTTGTACTAATAATGTCATCTCAGTCATATTTTAACCAATGAGGGAACCGCAATTGCACTTAAAATCGCCATTTTTATAATTTCGTAATTCGATTTTAAAAAAGTTGCCTACAGTTTGCTTTTATTTTTAACATGGGAGAATTTCGAATAAAGTTGGTAATTTTTTACTTACTGGTAACTCTAACAGCAGGGTGTCAATGTCAAAAATGCCGTAAGATCCTTGTAGGGCTATAGACCGAATTTCTGCGTTTGCGTCGAGGCACTACCTCCACACAACCAATAAACTATATCATGTATTTAATATATCAGTAGTTCGTTGTTAAATCTTTTTTTATAATTAAATATTTTTATTTTTACGTTATTCTTTAACTATCTAACTGCTTTCTTAGGTTTTTAAGTATCTATAAAAACAACTTTGTGGAGCGCTGTGTGCTGTGGTCGGTTATAAACTATGACAGATAATATAATAATAACAAAAAAACTGTGCGTAAAAGAAAATTAATGTGTGGGTCACGGCGTGTAACACGGGTGACACGCGTTACACTTGTGACACATGTGACCCGTGTGACGCGAGTGACGTGGAATGTAACGTGAAGGTAACTGGATAGCTTCTCAGGCTTTGTCTATCAACTGGGAAATAAACAGCGGACTAAATAAATATTTTTTTTCAACATCAATAAATACTTTCGCGCTATGTACAAGTGAGTTCGTGTTAACTGTTTGGGTTACGTTTTGGTCTATATTTTGTACGCTTAAGTTGCACTAACGGTGAAATCTATTTTGTAATTTTTTTTGTTTATAGGATCTCCTAATGTGTACTTTTCAGAGGCACTGCGATACGACGTTTTATACAAACTCGAGACGACCCGAAGACTGCCGTCGTTACGGAACATTTTGAGGTTATGTGTCGCGCGCCATTTCTACTTATTGTCTGGCCGCTGGCGGGACGACCGCGACGCCAGGACGGCTATGTACAATGCGGACCCCGCAGCCGGCGTGCCGAGTCATTGCGGGAATAACTTCACGTGCCCACGAGTGCGTCTAAAATCCGAGCCGACGGAACTACAAGTAACGATTACGTATAAAACCCGTACTATTGTTAGCAAAAATCAGCCTTGACAAGTTGAAAATAAAGTCTAGTTTAGGAACAAAACACGCCAAGTTGTCCTCGCGCAAACCCGCTTCCGGCGACCGAGAGGTCTGTACAAAATCTCAATCTAACCGGTACTAAATATACAACGACACCGCCCCCGGCGACGGGGGGCGCGTCGGGTCCGGGGGGTCGCCCACCCCCTTGTAATTCTAGAGGTCCGCGGCGGGGGGCATCTCAACCGTTGGGCTGCAGCGTGGGCTGCAGGGGGGCGGCGTCCAGGTGGCCGTCGGCGGCCCTGTTGACCTCGGAGTTCATGTTGTCGTCGGGCAGCTTGTGGGGGCGCGGCTCGTGCACCAGGGGGCGGGTCTCCAGCGCCAGGGATCGGGGCTCGTGCCCCGGGGGACGGGGCTCGTGCTCGGGGCGGCGCGAGGTGTCGAGCAGGCTGTAGGCGAGCCCGTCGTCGAGCACCGTCTCCACCGTGACGTCGCCCTCCTCACGGGACACGTCGAACACCTCGTACAGGTGAGCTTTCTTCACTTTGCCGTTCGGTGTTTTAGACTGGGGACAAAATTAAAGAAAATAAGCCGAGCAACTCAAAAGAAACATCAAGAAAAGCCATTATAATGAAGTCTGACCGACCTGCAGATGCGCGCGCAGGTGTCCGTTGAGCAGGGGCTCGCCGCACGCGCCGCCGTTGGCCAGCCGCCCGCCCACGCCGCTACCGCAAGCTCCCATCTGGAAATTAATACATTTTCTTACAGTAAACAATTTTTTTCTCTCTTTCCATGTATAGGCATTTTGTTACGCCAGTTTTACGGTTTCAAAATCGAAAAAGCATTCCTTATCACTCGGCCTACCTTCATTTCGGAACTTCCATCGTCAATCTCTTCTAAGCCATGTTGGTTTCTGCGTGATCTGGAATTTGTAAAACAGATTAAAACCACTACTTAGTTATTTTGATTTCTTGTTTTTGTATATTTTTCCTATCACATTGCCACCGACCTCACTCTGGAGCGGCTCTTGTATCTCTTCCAGAGACAGGCGGCGGTCACGAACGCGGCGCACAGCACGGACACGCCCACGCCCACACCCACGCCTGGGACACGAACAAATAATTATATTGGAAATGAAGTTTAATAGACTTTTTTGCACATTTAAAAGGAAGAAATATCTCACTAAAAACAATATAAATTAACTTAAAGAATCAATGAAGTGTGGACATTTTATAAAATAAATTCATCCGTTTATCCAAAAATGTGTCTGTCGAATGTTTGTGACGTCAAATTTAGTGTGACACTCACTAAGGTATAGGTTGTAGTTATCGATGGGTCGTGGCGGGATGGTGAGCACTTGGTTGGGCTTGTTGGGTCCGGGCAGCGTCACCATCACGTACACGGGCAAGTACGGGTCCAAGTCCTCCAGCTGGTGATACAATTGTTGCACAATTAATAAATTAGAGGGCGTTACACGTTAGAATAGTCACGTTATCTGCCGTTACGGTATTCACGGTTGTCACGCTGACAGATATATTTAGTGAATGCCACGTGTGCAATGTGTCACGTCAAAAGGGGCGTAGTGTCTCAGTAGTGGGGCGTGTTAGGACGTGTTTGGGGCGTGTTACCTCGACGTGCGTGTCAGAGACGTTGCGCGCATGCCAGTGCTCGACGGGCCGCGTGATGTTTTGCGCGTACCGCACGACGCGCACGATGCGCGCGCCTCCCACGCCCCCCGCGCCCTCCTCCCACCACACGCGCACGCCGCCGTGCGTGTACACGTACTTCAGCTCTTTAGCTTCTGCACAATATATACACATATAAAACACTATATACATTAGCATCTAGTATACGTTATTGTTACATTAAAGTTGAGTATAATGTTGTCTAGTTTAACCAGCTTTTGTTTGGTCCTTCGAGTCAGACGAATCTGTTAACTTATGATACCCACCTAGATCCTTGAATTGTGCAGGAATGGTGAGGATACGACTGTGGCCTTGCGGCTCGTGGCCCGTCACCATCACGTACGTCTGCTCCGTCGGCTCCAGTCCAGTTATCTAGTATAAAATGTCATATTTAGGACCTGTCTGACAATTCACAAGAATTTTTTGGCAGATTTTGAGACAATTCACAAAAATTGTCAGATAACAATCCAACGTTTAAAAATGTGATGGAAATATTAAATTTTGTACTCTATCTGACAGTGACATCACTTTTAAGCTATCCGAGTCTATCAACCAGTGGTGGGACAAGCTCTTAATTATTTAAACTTACACAATTTTTGGTAAATTGAAGTGGTGCTCACCAGTGCAGTATTGTTGATGGTGGTGAGCGCGTCCCACTGCTCGACGGGCAGGCGCAGGCGCGCGCTGTGCCGCACCGTGTAGCGCTGCGCCGCGCCGCGCCAGCGCACGCGCACGGCCGACGCGTTCACGAACGCGTACGACAGCTCGCCCACGCGCCACGGACCTGAACACAGGACATTGTTATTAACGCATTTTAAATCACTTAATGATTAAACAAACCATTTAGATTCGATTACGATATAGATATCTGATGGTGAAAATTTTAAGATATGAATGCATCAGTGATAGAGATAGATAAAGTGTAGAAGTTGTAGGCCGGTACCTTCAGACTGCGTGACGACGCGCACGGGCTCGCTGAAGGCGCCGCGCGGCACGCCCCCCGCCCCCAGCCCCGCCTGCACCCGCACCTCGTACTCGCTGCCCGCCTCCAGACCATCCACTGTCGCGCTGTTCTTATGACTACAACGGAAACGAAACCCCGATAAAGTTATTTCTATTAATGGACAATTTAACGCATTTTTGTTATTATTTCTGCACATGAATGAGTTCTGACCTCTCCTGGCATTCCTCGTCGTCACCGTCCTCTTGCAGATCTGCGTGCGGCCTGCGGATGCAGACTCGGAAGGTGATGTCGGAGTCTTCGCAGCGCGCGCACTGCCACTGCACCGCGAACCCGCGCGGCCCCACGCCCGACACGCGCACGCGCTCCGGCTGCGGCGCCGCCTCGCTGGCACACGTCAATACTTAAACATTACTTTTCCCATGTTAAAATCTGACATAATACATATCGCAAGTGCTTAGTCTCGGTTTGATTCCTGTGAGCCTAGAGGTGTTGTACTTAATTTTTAATTGTACAACTAAACAGTTGAATGGACCGCGAAATAACCGATAGTCGCAAAACAGTTATGCGATAGTTTAGTCAAAGGTATGCGCGCTCTAATTGGTGTTGGTACAGTCAGGGAATCGAGCGGTGTTCCATTTAATTACTACAGTTAACTGAACATTTTGTACATCGATGCCGAACAATAACCAATAGGATGATGAATTTAAATATGTCTCATATCCTATCGGTTTCGTAACTTACTGCTACATAATTAGACATTTGTAAAAGATCCGAGTTTGTATCGTTTCTTGTTCCTAAGGTAATTTTTCTGTAACTGGCAACCGCAGATTTCAGCGACTGAACAACATTAGGTGTTAATTTATTAACTTTTATCTATGTTTCGTTTCCCTTTGATTCCAGACCTTTTGATATTTAAATCTATACTGCAAAGGTCCTACCTGTAGGGTGAGAGGTCTGCGGCGGCCGTGGAGGTCCAGGGCAACAGGCTGAGGTCCTGTGGCAGCCATGTCAGGTTGCGGCTACCCAGCACCCGCACCCACGCCGCACTAGCCTCCGCTAAAAGTATTTAGATTATATCGACTACAATAATGCCAGATTAATAGTTTGTTGAAAATCTACAATCTATCCATTTCTATACTATTATAATAAAAAGTAAACACATAATCGTTATGCAAGATGTCAGCAATTATATTATGTTTTAGAATGATTTAGGCTAAATATTTTCACGGTTTCAAACTTTGGTGGTAAAGAATTTGGTAAAATCTGCGGGAAAGGAACAAAAACTACAAGCTGGTATTTGTTATCCAATGTCAAATGTTGTCGTTTGTGAATTAAAATTTTGCCAAATTCAAGATAAAATAAAGTTTATTTTGTTTATAATAAAACAGCTCTAACTCATTCTGTTACCTGGTAAAGTGTAGTTGGTGACGTGTCCCGGCAGCGTGATGTTGTGCTCCAGCGAGGCGTTGTCCGGCTTGTACTGCAGCACCCACTGCGCCGCGCCCCCCGCCTCGCGCGCGAACTGCCGCCACGACACGGACACGCCCCCCGCGCCCCCAGCGCCCCCCGCGCGAGACACTCGCACCGGCACTGCACATCACTGCTTCATTACAACCACCACCAACCATTGACAGTTTACAATACTATGGAACATGTAAGCCAGTACCGATGTTAAAGTGTTTGGTTACAGTATGTTTTATTTTTTTTTATTTATTGTAATAAATTTATATAAACATCCACCCAAAGTAACAACAATTAGTACACCTACGGGCGTGCAACATACAGGGTGATTCTTAACACATATAGATCTAGCCGTCAATATAGATATATTCACTGTCTCTTAAGCATATCCTCTTTTACACAATCCATCCATACTTTCACAATAAAATTCAAACATTCAATTGTTAAGGTAATGATTGTCTTGTACAGATATAAAATAACCAAAAAAGAACTTACGAACCTCCCTGTCCTTGACAGACGACGCTCTCGGACATGTCACTCGCCACATTCTTCTTATTGGACGAGGGGATGTAGGCACGCACCTGGAATGGAGCAGATGTCACGAGTAGTCAATTTTAAGCTTTAAATCACTGAGGATAAGGTCTAATCTTCTGTAAAGTTCGCACATACCTGGAATAAGTAAGGAGTGAGCGATTCTTTTAAATGAATGGTTTCCTCCGTATCAGTTTGCGGCTGACCAGTCAGCGAGATGCCCGGCCCGTCTGTAACCACAATATAATAATACATAAATTGTGTACAGTCGAGATTTTAGCTATCCGACGACGTTCCGCGACGTTTCAATGCGTACATTCAATCTGTGGTTTAACACGTTTACTGCGGCAAGTAAAATCATAATTCTTCATTTGGTGCGGTGGCGGGCAACATGCGCCCAATGATATTTCCGCCAGTGCGTGGCAGGTCTTTTTAGACCCACCAGCACTAGGATAGATTTTATGTAATGTAACGTATACACCTAAGATAATCGTTGGACACTATCGAGAGGGTAATAGTTTGCTTGTCTGCATAACTTAAGAACCCCGACAGGCCGATATCGGCCTGTTCCGCAGTGAGCGTGTTAAAGTTGAACACGGACAAGTGTTTCTTGTAGATACCTCGAGGCGTAGTATCGACGGTGTAGGCGACGACTTTCTCAGCGGCGGGCAGCCAGCGCAGCTTCACGAAGCGTGGGCCCGTGGGCAGGCAGCGCAGCGCGCCCGGCGCCGCCGCCCACGCGCCCGTCACGTTCAGCGCCGCCCACGCAGACGCCCACGCCCAGCGCCCCGCACCGCCCCCTCGCGCGAAGCACTGGTACACACCTGGCACAACGCTCATTGGTTTAGCAACCATTGATAATAGATGGCGCGGACAACAATTGTAAAAATATTTGCATTGATTTAAAAGTAAAAGCACATTTAAATGTTATATTGTTTTACAAGGAAGTTAATAGTAAAATGATAATTGTTTTAGTTGCAAAAATATTGTGGATGAATATTTAATATCGTATTGGCCACCAAGAAAGCAATAGACTAAATTGTTTAAAAAAATAACAACGAGGATTTAGGCGTGAAGTGGCGTGAATCAGAGTGCAGAATGTAAAGTAAGCAATGTAACGTATTTATTTTAACAATGCAATTTACCTTTTATTGTAAATAGTGTATCAGCAAATAAATATTTTATCAATGGCACTAGTTTATATTTATAAAGTATTTAAGATTAAAAGAAACTTCATAATAAAGTCACATGTAACTAACCAGCGTCGTCTGACGTTACTCCGCTGATCACCAGCTGCATTCGGTTCACGTCGGTTGAGGGCCGCAGATTTATCTACACAATGCAATCACATGTACCTAATGAACAAGCTATCGATTTATGCAGCACTCATAGTCGATTAACGGCCACTAAAGGACACACTAAGCGTAAACATCATTTCAGAATAGGGCACCGTTTATGTGACCGAAGCATTTCGCACAAAACTAAAAGTTTTATTACTAGCCCCCCTCTCTTTATCATTGGCCGTCCCCTCAACTGGAGCATCGACTTGCCCCGCCCTCAAACATCAACTGGTAACAAACATGGCAATCTATATCTATACCGATATTATAAAGAAGATAGTATTTTTGTTTGTTTTAAAATAACTTAAATACTACTGGGCCGATTTCGAAAATTCACCATTAGAAAGACTCGTTATCTCTGAGTATATCACTGAGGCTATA